GTGACAACCCTTGGTAGTAACAAAGTATGACAAAGTAACCGTCACATCGTGGCATCACTAGTATGTAAACTTTGCCAAGTTAGTTTTATAAATAAATGTTAAGACCACCATGGTAAAAAGGAAACATTACATTTCCTAACCATTATTATTACATTATTTTTTATTATTATTATTTTTACTTATTATAAGCCAGAGCTTAACCACAATCCTACCTGGTGGTAAGTCGTGATGCAGCCCTAGATGGTAACAAAAGCCTATTCACGATATTGTATTCGGACGGAAAGATTATTCCACTCTCCGGCAAATTATTCCACTCTTTTGCTGTACGCATCACATAATTTAAAATTAAAAATTTTGTACAGCCGACTTCAATATAAGTTATTAAGAATAACTCAAATAACTAAAAAACTATTGGTCTGAACTTGATCAAATTCATATGGGACCACAAGAGAAGTATCAGCTTTCATATAAAAAAAAGAATCATCGAAATCGGTCCACCCAGTAAAAATTTATGAGGTAACACACATAAAAAAATAACATACGCGTCGAATTGAGTACCGTCTCCTTTTTGGAAGTCGGCAGAAAAGTCAAAACAAACCGATTGGTTCTAATGCATGGAATATCGACGACAAAAGGGTGAAGACCCGCCGACCGCCTGGTTGTCCAATGGAGGAAAGAAGAGGGAGTAATTAAAGAGTGTAATTCCTGCGCACACTCACCGAAATGTGTAAATTACAAAGATGCAGATACTTACATAAATTCAGTATTTCAAACAAAATCAACAAAAGTTCTGGGGCACTGAACAAGGAAGTTACGTCGCCGACACATTTATTTAATGCGCGTTAAAAAAAAATGCAAAAAGTAACGCTCATGTTGCCATATCGAAAACAATGCTGTAAATTAATAATTAATTTTACATCCAAAAAATGACGTATCTATATGTTATCAGTGTTAATCGTACTTTTGTACCTGTACATACGTGATAGCAAAGTTAATTACCATTTTCGAAGTTGCTATTGAAGATTGAGAATGGGCCAAATTAAGAGTTCCCTTAACCGACGAGCAAGTATGTGTAAATACATATATACATGTGAAAGAAGCGTGGGAGGTATTCAGAATCGTGCCAAATGGAAGTACGTAGTTTTTGCCTACCCCTGCAGATGACGTGTGGTGGTCATGTACGTATTTATGGATATTAATTGCACAGTTTATAGAAATAAAAAAATATGATTCATAATTATAAATAATAAACTAATTAATAAATAAATTATAGGTCAACAGAGATCATGTAGTTTATAAACAAATGTGAATAGGAAACTTTTGTGTATTGTCTTTTGTCACACCACACAAGTTTTGCATAGTGATGACATGGACCTCGATTCTTACGTATCTAATTATATTATATTAATTTAATTTTCACACGGGTCTATTATTCGGATTACACAGATGGAAGTCAACAACTTTTTACTGGAAATGAGGCATTCCATCTTAGTCTTCACGGGTGACAACGCATCTACATTTTGATTTGTAACAGAGGATAGATGTAGATGTCTATGGGCCGCAGTAACCACTTACCATCAGGTGGACTGTGTGCTCGTTTGTCACCCTTATTCTATAAAAAAAAAAAACATTTTTTAACGCACAAGGTTTTTTAAAAACATGCCGTCTATACAATGTTGTAGGGTGCATGCTTGTTTCTTTATTTATTGAAAATTGTCAACTGGTTTTGCAAGTAGAAATTCATTCTTAAGCTATTTTAATCACTAACTGAATTCTCAGCAAAAACACACTAACATGAAACAAGATTTCTTAATTGGTACTAACGAATTCTTGTGTACTTTCGGCTTTAAATTTGAACAAGATAACAGTGGACTAGTAAAGGGTTGTAATGATGACGGCTATGATGGAAAATAACAGATGTTATAACAACAAAACGATGTTCTGTCCTTTCTGATAGATAGGTGGTACGATGACTTTGATTTCGTAATTATACAAGTGATAAATTTAAAATTTTGTAGAAACTATTCCCATTTGATTTTTTTATTATTTTTTTATAGGAGAGGGGGCAAACGAGCATGCGGCTCACCTGATGGTAAGTGACTACCGCCGCCCATAAACAATTGCAACACTAGGGGAATTGCAGATGCGTTGCCGGCCTCTTAAAAAGGGGTAGGCTCTTTTCTTGAAGATCCCTAAGTCGTATTGGTTCGTAAAAATCCCTGGTGGTAATCGATTCCACAACAAAGTTGTGCGAGGAAGAAAACAATTGAATTTCGATAAAATGTAAATGGGATCCCTTGGGAAGTATAACCTTTGAACTAAAAAAAATATTTTTTCAAATCGGTTCAGGCGTCTTTGAGTAATCGGTGAACATACATAAAAAAAATTGAACAACAAACGAATTGAGAGCCTCCTCCTTTTTTGAAGTCGTTTGAAAATAATTCCGTAATTACTTTACGGTGTAAATATATTTGACCACAGCGCCATCTTGGGTGGGTCCAGACTGTATGATTTTATTTTTGGGCACCAAACAAACATATAATATTGTGAATGTGAGTCATTTTGGTCCATAAGCGTAGAATTTGTTAATACTTGACTAAAACGCTACACGAGTATGACGAATTCTAGCATGGCTATGAACTATTGTCTTATTTATTTGCTACCCTTAGGGGTAAATTTTTCTTTACATACCCTTGAAACATAACATATTTAATAAAAAAAAGAATCATCAAAATTTTACCACAATCTGCGGAGATATCGCGTAACTAACACACAAAAAACATTTGAATTGAGAACCTCCTCCGTACTGAAGTCGGTTAATAAATATTAGTAGAATAGTGCAGTATTTACACTATCACTAACATACACACTAAAGATTAAAATATTATTAGATATAATATGAACAATATTCGAAATCCTACATCTCTCGCGTGGTAAAAAGACAATTATTTTTCCAAAAAATATTGTAGCTATGGTAGTATCACCGGAATGGGATACGTCACCATCCCACCAAAATACATAAATGTTAAAACTTTACTCATAGTTCAAAGATTTTTGTGTGCAAAAGTATAGGGTGTAAAGACATTGAATGAAAATCTTTTCTCTAAATTGAAGAAAAATATTATTATGAAAAGAACTGGAAATGTTGAAAAGGTTCATTGAGATACGGCGAATTTGACTAATAAATAAACCCAGCAAGCTAACAGCATAGCAAAGTGGCGAAGCAATCAGCTTTGTAGCGGTTTCTAACGGTTGCCGTTGAGCAATCAGTTTCAAAATAGGAGGTTCAGATGCCTGGGTGATCAGTAATCGATTGCTGAAAACAGAATTTGAAAATTCAAAACCGTTCTCGAGATAATCGTGGGACAGACGGACAGACAGACAGACATCGTGAAATCAATAAGTGACTTCGCAAGCTTCGCCACTTAATAAAACGCAATAGAAAGCAATTTATGAAAGATTAAGGCGGATTTGGATTAGGAGCTACTTAACCTTAACGCTGTATTCTTAGACATGGTCATATTTTTTAAAGTTAGTAATCGTTTAAAAAATATTACCATCTGCCACGGCTGGTTACAGGGTATCTATGAGAGGTTCATGTAGTTTTGTGGGTTTTTTTATTTTTTTGCGCGAATCCGCAATTATTTTTCGAAAATCAAAGTAGCCTAAGTTACTCATAACATCAGCTACCTGCCAGTGAAAGTCCCGTCAAAATCCTTCCAGTCATTGCGGAGATTAGTCGGAACAAACAGACAGACAGACAAATTTAAAAAAAAAATGTCTGTTAGTCTGACTGTTGTGTCAAATCAAAATAAAAAGTTCTTATTTTGACATTACAAACAGACACTTCCATTTTATTTATTTGTATAGGACCACCGTTGTTTCTCGGTGGTGTCACCATAACAAATTAATGTCAGCATAGAGAGCAGTAAAGATTAGAACCTATTTCAGTGGCCTTATATTAGTGTTATTTTTGTGGAAATAAGTAAAAACTAGTTCATTCTCTGGAGTGAAACGTTTTGTAAACATGAACCGCTCAAAATAAGTTCGTGAATGCGCTTCTCACATGCATGACTTTAGTTTGTGATTACTTTGCGTGTTATAGGATACCAATTCGTAATAAGGAACTACCTTAAGTATCTTGTTCGCATGTCATGTTCACGTTGACCAAGAAAGTCTATAAGACTGTAAACATAATCTGTTTCAAAACATCAGTATTGTCTATTAGTCCTAGAGGAATCGGCGCATGAGTAACGAAAACTACACCACCAATTTTTTTTTATGCGATTCTTTTCAAATTGTCCTACTGGTGATATATATCATGTACGTTTCCATGGGGCAACTCGGTCCCACATTGTTGAAACCTACTTTTTTTTCAATTGCAAAGAATTGTTATTTTCAAATGGGACATTTTTTTTATATTCTTTGATAAAATACGATTAAAAAAAGGTAATAAGACTTTTTAAGATAAAATTAATACTTTCGGAGTTATGAATTTTTAAAGGTTTGAAAAATCCCAAATGCAAATACATTTGACCCATTAAAAATACATAAAGAAGAAGAATAAAATATAAAAGATATTATATAAATTTTTTTGATGATATACGAATAAAAACGGTGCTATAATTTTTTACAACAATGTTAATATTTTCGGAGTATGAATTTTTAAAGCTTTGCAAAATCCCAAATTCGGATACTTTTGAACCATCAAAAATTCTTAAAGAAGAAGAATAAAATATGAAAGATATATATTTTTTGATGATATACGAATAAAAAAGATGCTATGACTTTTTACAAGAAAGTTAATATTTTCGGAGTTATGAATTTTTAAATATTTGAAAAATCCCACATATACTTTTGATTCATTAAAAATATATAAAAAATAAGGTTTAAAGAATTAAAAAAATATATCTTTTATATTTTATTAAACTAGATCATTCTCTGGAGTTTTTTGAAAAGTTGATTTTTTTTATCATGAACAAAAAGCAAAAATATCTTACCACCATCCATGTTCAGCACTACCATCACGGAATAAAGATAAATACTGGCACCAAATTTAAAATAACAAAGAAGCACTATTTATATTTTAAAAAAAAAAACGTTACGAATCACTCAATAAACGCGCTCCCCAGTGCACGAATCCAACGGTACTGAGGACACTGCGGAGGCACGGCAAGTCACACCCGTTCTGCCGTTCTTATCACAGTAGACGAAACTGTGACGTACTTTACACGTGTTGTACCGGCTGGGGTGCAACACTTTTCAGGATATAAACAAGGACGTTCAATGAAAGAAAAATTTTCAAAGCATCACTCCGTATAAGTATTTATTGCGTTTGAGATTTTAGCAACTGGCAATAAGCTGTTTAGCTGTATGTAGCGAAATGTATGGAATTGTTTCCATGAAATCACAACACGAACACACGCACACGTTCCACACCATTACTCAAACACAAGTGAAGTCATTACAAAAATATGTCTGCTTTATATGGCAGTGTTGCTAACACTGATAACGACCAATAACCCATTATTTATCTCGTAAATATTGTTACGACAGCCAGTTGCGTATTGCATCACATTGCACGTGAATGTTCCCAACGATAAGGGTAATAATTAATTATTTCCGTAACGCGAAAGTGAGCAATCGACCTACGACATACGACCTACTTGCTGTATCTGTGTGGAAAAATACATGTATTTTTACTCACCGCGAAAGTAAAAATAAGTATGACTCATGCTAAGTCCATCTGTAGTCACAGTCCATCGGATTGTAGCCGGTGGAAGGAAAAGGGGAGATCTCCCGCCGGGCAAGTTGTTTTTGCCCGGGGAGCGGCCAACGCTCCGATTGATAGTTCGGAGCTATTCTATATATGCTGCTTTAACTTCGGAACTTTGTTAGTGCGATTTAGGCTTCGATGTGTTTCGCTTGTGGCGCGACGACAGCGCCACCACAGGATGTTAGCAAATAAAAACATGTATATCAATAGATTTATCATAATTGCGTAAGCAACGTAGACTAAATGACGTCAGCTAAAAATAAATATGGCGGAGTCATGGACAGTCAAAAACTTATGGCCCAAGGAATAATTATGGGGTTCACGTGAAATGTCAAATACAAGTATAGTTTGCATTATTATTTCCAAATAAAGTTAAAGTTGAAACTTTCAGAATTCGAAATATTTTTTTTACTATTTCTCAGACATGCAGGTTTCCTCGCTGTGTTTTCTTTCACCGCCGAGCACATGGTAAATCGGCACTTAAAATTGCATTTAATATGATGCCGGCGGGGCTCGAACCTGGTTTGTTCGCATACAGTAAAATTTACGGCGAGCGCTAACCATCTATTCGGCACGGCTATTTCCAAATAAATATTAAAAAATTTGCATTTATTATTTACAGGCAATCAGTCCTTAAAATACTATATCTACAATTCAAAAATTTGTGAAATAATTTATTTTTATGACAAGTGAAGTCCTCCATTAAATTTAGCTGATAAAACCAAAAATACTGAACTGCGTGAAATATATACCACTGCCTTTAAGTTTACACACAAATGCCTTCAATCGTCACCTCTCCGCTTTAACTGTATAAAATAACTGAAACCTGGACAGTCCTAAAAAAATAAAAAATATGGTTGCTGTAACTCTACGTCACATTTTCGCTACACATTATAAATAGTACCGCGTATCTTTATTGCAATTTGACATTCGTTTGGCTGCCGAGGAACATATTATAATGAATGCTTATCAGTGACAAAAATTACGCGATATTTTAGTAAAGATGGATGGAAAATGCCACAACCGATGTTCACGTTTGACAAAATATAGCATATTAAACGACATACTCGTAGGAATTTGATATTTATAAACGAAAATTTAGTAGCACTCGTCATCCAAGGTTAAATAATTACACGTTAGTGTCATTGTCTTTTTTTATACACTCTTTTATTAGCTTCACTGTATCTATCTATGTAAGGGAATCTTTGAATATAATTTCCGCCAACTTGTAGACGGGACAATTGACTTAAAAATTTGCGTCGTACCAAGGACCGATGACAATACAATAATTTAACAACTATCCTAGTATCATGATCGGCATCACCAGGATAATTCTTTATAGAATTGTCACAGCTCATGAGCAATGCGTATTTTTTAAGTTTTCTTAAATTTTAATTTTATTATTTAAACAACAAGTCACTTTTTGAGGATATTTAAACGTCACTTAAACATTTTACGTATTTTAATCGAGCCGAGCCGTGGTAGCACAGGGGTTAGGTGCTCGCTGTAAATTTCACAGTACGAGAGCAATCCGGCATCGATCCCTGCCGGCAGGAATGTTAATTGCAATTTTAAATGCTGATTAACCGCATGCTCGCCGGAGAAAGAAAACATCGTGAGGAAACCTGCATGTCTGAGAAATAAGAAAAAAATATATTTCGAAAACATGTGAAGTTCGCCAACACGTTCCTTTCCTTGCGCTAAAACCCTTTCAGAAATGAGGGGAGGCCTGTGCCCAGCAGTGGGACGTATATATAGGCTGCAACTTTAACGTTTTTTAACAACATCTTTGATACAATAAAACTTTTGGCACAATATAATTACAACACAAAACATAATATTAATAAATATACCGTCTATGCACTGATGCCTCCTCAGTACTCGTTTTGTATTCTTAACTTCCATTGACGCAAATCTTTATTTAACACTCACTGTTACTGTATGTTTTAAATACCAATACTAATTTTAGTGCTAGGTTTTGTCGTTTGCAGATTAAAAGCTGGCGAATGAAGCACTTGAATGCGACGAGACTTAAAAATAGATTACAAGACATTACGAACGCGTTTCGATTGTTGAGTACCTACAATGATACATGAAAAGCTGCTTTCAATTATTGTCTACATTGTTAAATTAAATTAAATCATTATAATTGGACTTTCAACGAATATTCGGCTATTATTCGGTATTCGACCTATTCGGCTACTTTTATACTATTCAATCGAATATGTAATTATTTAAATTAAAATAATTATATAATAAAAACTAGATGACAAGGCAGACGTTCAACCCTCTCCGACGACCTTGTATCCTATAAAAATTCTTAAATTCGTAATAAAAAATATTGAGCGAAAATATTGAAAAAAAAAATAAAGAAAAAGAATAAAATATAAAACATTGTTTATTGATATTTTTGAATAAAACACGAATAAAAAGGTACCATGACTTTAGGATACAGTTAATATTTTCGGATTAATAAATATTTAAGTCTGAAAAATCCCAAATTCGGTTACTTTTGATTCGTTAAAATACATAAAGAAAAATAATAAAATATAAAACATTCTTTTATATTTTTAATAAAATATGAATAAAAAGGTAGCATGACGATAAAGTGAATATTTTCGGAGTTATAATCCGAAATTCGGATACTTTTGACCCATTAAAAATACATAAAGAAAAATAATAAAATAAAAAAGATTTTTAAATTTTTTGATATAATATAAATAAAAAAATCCAATGACTTTTTACTATAAAATTAATATATGCGCAGTTATGAATTTTTCAAATTTGAAAAATCCCAAATTCGGATATTTTTGACATATTAAAATATAATATAAAGAAAAACAATAAAATATAAAAGATATATTTTTTAATGAAATACGATTAAAAAAGGTATTATGACTTTTTACGATAAAGTAAAATTTTTGGAGTTATGAATTTTTAAATGTTTGAAAAAGAATAAAAGTCGTATTTTATCAAAGAAAATGAAAAAACTGTCCCGTTTGAAAATAACAATTCCTTGCAAAACAATATCGCACCGAGTTGGTCCATGGCAAAATGCATTTATAATTATTATATCACCAGTAGGACAATTTGAAGAGAATCGCATAAAAATTGAGGTGGAATAGTGTTCGGTACTCATGCACTCTTCCTCCTGGACTAATTCGAGTTCTCGTTTTTTTTAAGCGATAACCATAATATTTATGGATAATATGAAAGGCATATTATGGAATTCAATTCTTAATCGGTTACATTATTATTTAGATCCTTTTTTTCATGTTATTAAGCAAAAATGTTTCAAATAAAGTAACTTTTTTTTCACCGAATGTATACTTACTTTACAAAAATATGCATACCTACAGCGCAGAAGAGAGCTAAAAGCCTTTTAACATAGAATATGCTCGACTTAAGGTCTGATGTTTCAATCACATGATGATGATGATGATAAGATAAAAGTTATCCACGATGATGTTGATGATGGTGGTGGTGATGATGATAAGATAAAGTTATCCATCAACTAAACTATATTACCTAATTGCTTATAAAATTAAAACAATTGAACTACCTATTTTATTTATTCACCTGTAATATAAAAAATACAAAATCTATACATCTATACATATAATAAATCTGTAAAAAAGTCGTGTCTGTAGTCCTAATTCTTAATTAATATTCTTGAAAAACCAAGTCTAGGGGACTAAATAAAGAGTTCTGAAGCCAAATTAGTGGTTTTTAGAATTTTTGTCTGTCTGTCTGTCTTTCTGTCTGTCTGTCTGTGTATTCCGGATTCACGAAAAAAACTACTGAACCGATTTACATGAAATTTTGTATGTATGTAGTCAGTGACCCCGGGCAACTTATAGGCTACTTTTTATCCGATTACGGAATTTCAAAAAAAGAAGATTAAGTATTTTATTTCCTTTAGATGTGAATTTTCTATTATATCTTAGTTATATAGGATGACGGGTGTTTTCCAAATAAATACCATATTTATAAATAAAGTTTAAAATATAGTTATAACCATGAAGCTAATACAAAGGGGAGACGGCATAAGCAACTGTGCACTGTGATTCTAACTAGGGCCTAACGTCATCATAGTAGGCTTTAGTTAGTATACTGTTAGCGTTCATCCTGTGCGCTTATGTGTTGAAAAAATCGCAAATCGGTGTATTTTCGTAGTATTAAGAAGAAAAGGATGAAGTGTTGTGTTTTATTGTGTAAAAACTACTCAGATAGACGCTCTGATGTTATGGATGGCATCACATTTCATTTGTAAATAATTTTACACCTAATTTATTAAAATAGTTCTAGAAAAATCTCTTTGCGTCGGCTTTCAAATATAATTAAATATATTCGACACTAGATGGCGACACTTTGTGTCATGTGAACTAAAAATATAAAGGTCCGTAGAGCTCAGTATTGGTAAAATAAACATACGAAGGTGCTGAAATTTGTTTTGCATTCAGACATAAAGATAATTTAATCGCAAAATATTATTTTTATAGTTTATAATCATTTTGAGAACAGGCCGTATTCTCGTCAAGTAAACCTCATGACAATGACAAAAAGACAGGGCCCTAATTAGAATTCAATTATTTTTCCCAGCAATCCAACTTTTGATATTAAATGCAGGAAATTGTACTTATGCATATGCATGCAGCATAAGTACAATTTCCTGCATTTAA